CAACTTGTCTCGTCAAACTGCTACGTCTCGCACCCCCTACTAAAGACCCCATGCATTTTAACATTGGAACAAAATAAATGGTCTCCTAATGTTGGTGTAGGATTAATTACTATGGGAACAGTGTCAAAATGTGGATGAAACCGTTAGGGACAAATACTTCATGGTTAAGGGCCTTTTCATTCACAACATCTAAAATGAAGTCAAGGAGTGAAATTTGGATTGGAAATGCAGCATCTCAAATCTGAGCAAACGTCTCCACTGAACAATATATAATGCCATCCACCGCAAATGAGACCATCTCCATGTGAAACTGATAGGACGGGGACAAAAAGGTTTAAATTTCCCAAATTGTCGCAAACATCCGCCTGCAGTTGCCACGTGGAGTCGTGGAATCCAGTGTTTCGTAAGACGGTGCACGGCTGATGATGGGGACAGATAGCGCAAATCTCATTAAACGTTGGGTAGGGGTGGAAAACGCATTAATAACACTTCTCAAGTACACTGGGGGGTTGGTCACACGTGTTTATAAACAAATTCAAATGACAAGCCCTGTAGGGACAGGTCGCTGAACCGAGACGCGTTGTTTACTGTGAACACATCGGGACTGTGCAGGGTCACTGGGTAAAGCTATTTTGCAACTAGGGGTAAACATTTCCCCAAGTCTGGTTTTACAGCAACAAAAAAATCCGAAATAGAACGGTTTCATTTCTCAGCCCACGCTCACCTGCACTGAAAAACAATCCATGGAGATGCTTAATGCACAAGCTGTGAACCCTTGACACAAGAATTAGAATTGGATATGATTTGTAAGCGTTTTATTTTCTCCTAGTGCAGGGTTTCCCAAGACTACTACCTTTTATGCAACCCCTACCACATATTTGATCAAGTCTAACACTCCCTACAAAAGTAACAATGTCAATGCCATTTTAAAATTGGAACACAAAATATGGAATTTGTAGTTTTTAAATGTTAAATTAAAAAGAAAATTGAATAATCAGAAGAAAAAAAAACATTTGTGACTTATTATATTAAATGAAATATATTAATGTTCAAACCAATACTTATAAGGCCATGGCTCCTCTGTTCTTATTCTTACTTTTTCCGCACAGCCCCTGAAATGCAACTGATACATGCACCTCCTTGGGAGTGCTATGGGCTTAAGGTGCCTCCTTGGGAGTGCTATGGGCTTAAGGTGCCTCCTTGGGAGTGCTTTGGGCTTAAGGTGCCTCCTTGGGAGTGCTATGGGCTTAAGGTGCCTCCTTGGGAGTGCTATGGGCCTAAGGTGTATCTGTTGGCACACCTCAGAACGGCGGTCCCGAAATTAAAAATAGAATACTCTTTTCCTTTTTTTTAGAAAGTGTCCAGCTATCAGCCTAATAGCCGCCAATGATTGGTCACTAAGCGGTATTCAATTTTATTTGGTTTTTGTAAGATCACGATCTTCATCAGCCTCTTCATCATCATCATCATCTCCAAAAAAAATGTTAAAAAGAAGAAAAATAAAGGAAAATGCAAGAGAGAAACAAAAGTTATCTCTGTTGAAATGCTATTTTATATAATTATTATTATTATTATAAGTGGTTTTATATAGCGTGGTACCCAGGGCTGGGCTCACCACGCTGTACATACAATTTAACAATTTATATCAGACAGTGTTCAGCAAACCAAACTAACCAAAGCATACAGTGCCTCAGCATTGTGTCATAAGTCATAAGGTTGCAGAATGTTTCCTGACCAAACACTATTTGAAATATGGCGGCCATGCTTTTATTTATTTTAAATTATTACAGGCAATAATTAGTCTGCAAACAAAAAAATTAAGTCACCAATTATCGCCGTCTCGGGAGCCGGACACCTTCTAACGAAGAGTATTTTAATTTTCATTTGGGACCGCCGTTCTGAGGAGTGCCCTTAACTCTCATACATAGCACAAGGCATTGGCTTAAAGCGTTTAATTACTGTACTTTCTTATTGAATGAATATGCATCTGAAACCATTGACACAAAACTTAAAAAGATATCAGGTATCTTATTTCCAACAATGATTTTCATAAAAATCGATTACTTCAATGGAAGATATCAAAATAATTAATTTCTTTCTTTAAAAAACAAAAATTCCAAAACCCAATTATAATTCCAACTCTTCAAACATAGACACAACCACCCATTCATCAAGTATACCAAGGGATTGATTCTCAAACTTTGTGGTTTCACAGACCACTTATAAGTTGTGTGTTTTCAATGCCTGGCCATCTCTAGTTTGCGTGACAAAATTAACCAAATAAGAGAAGGTTTCAGTTGTTTGTTAGTGGCAGGGTCACAGAAGAGGTAGAGGATAGTTCAACACTATAGTTCTTTTATGAAAACAGCTTTTTATTAATTTTTTGAGTCCTTTCACTTTCATCTATTAAAATTGTCAAAAAAAACTTAACAATTTTGGACAAAAAAAAATAATCTGCTTTTTGTTTAGAATGATTATTTAATAAAATGTGATCCCGGAGCTTAAAAGTTGGCCCACAGTTTATCCAAAAAGAAGCTCACTGTGGGATAAACACCATTAATTGTCCACATAAACTCACAAACAATATCTTGTTTAATTGATATCACATTTGAAAATTCACATTTGCAAATGTATGATGATTAAGAAAAACACTCGTCTATAGGTTTTATTTGCAGTTATTTTTTGTTAGATACTAAGCTTTTAAATTTTGAAATCTCTATTTGAAAATAGAATACTTATAATTAGATAAACTGATATAGATTAAAAGGATATTTTAGATACCAATATAAAATTTCATCTGAAAGACCAACAGCACTGAGTCACACATCACCAAGAGTTGTGAACCGCTGATCTAATGTATCAAACATTGTCAAGAGGCTTTTTGGTGATTAACAAAGGATATCAGTTATGTTCACGAACCTTATACCACCATTGCCTCATGTAATCTAGTCCAGTGGTCTTCAACCTGTGGTCCTAAGCCCAAACTTACTAAAACATAATATTTTGCTAACATCACAAGAAGAAAAACAAATTTATAAAACCAATTAAATTGGAAATAGTATTTGGTCTTCCCCCAACTCAACCTAGACCATTTTGTGCAAGCCATAAAAGTACTTACAACAGCCTTGTGAGATCATTGATCTAGGCCAATGAACCTATGACCATTTACTATCATTCATGTCATCTCTGAGACAATTTAAACATCTTACATCTGAAAGGCTATTACAAATCTAGGTCAGGGTCCTCTTTACTCAACCCTTATCACTAGCCTATTATATTACAAACATGAAGAGTTTACCAAAATCAATTGGTTTATTTCACCATGCCCATTAGATTAATTAAATAGTACTACATCTAATTTTACTTACAATTTCTTCTGAATCTACTAAGTAGACATGGCACTCAAAGTCTGCATTGAGCTGGTAGCGAGTCAGGTAAGCAAAGCACCGAGGATCCTGGTGAAGCTTTGCAAAACGTGTGAGTCCTTTGAGATGATGCTCAAACAAAACAGGGACTCCATCCTGGTTGACGTTAACCACTCGCAAAACTTCCCCTATCACCTCAATAACAACATCTTTGATTGCATCTTTTTTCCTCCGTATTTCAGCCATAACCCAGGGCTGCATAGTCTGAGAATATAAGCGATCCATGGCCATAGAGCCTAAATACAAGACTGGAAATTTGGGTGGGATCTTCACTGAAACTGTTGTCTGTACTTCCTGCTCTGCCATTTTTTATACCTGGTAATATCTTTGGAAAGTAAAAAAAATAGAATAATGAACTTCATTTTTTAAAATTTTGACGCAGGAGTAATTTTGCATTTGGTATTAACAGTGCCATATATGTACTTTTCTTAAATTTTGTTCTGTGCAGCCAATCTAAAATTATTATGTTAATTTTTGTAAACCTATGTTTAAGTTTTACAGTTTGTGAAGTAAGGTTAAATTATGTACGTTTCATAATTAATATTCAAATACATCTAATCTTTTATTTCAGTGAAGGAACAAATTTTTCTTTTCCAAATTTTCTATGAACAAAGTCAATTTGCCATTTCTATTGAGCCACCCCTGAAATTGACCAACACCACTTGGAAAATCAAGTACCACATACAGGTCATGCAATTATGTAGCTAGCTACATTATTTACAAAAATAAGTAACAATTCTAAATATATTTATATCTTTTATGTTGCAACTCACAACTAATATTAGGTCTAGCTGTTTTAGTTTTAAGGACCGAGATTGTGTGTATACAGTATTCCTATTAAGTTAAATAAATCATTTTTAGTTTGATGCAAATGCAGTTGAACTGGTGTAGATTCTGAATCTCTGAATGACCAAAATTTTTTTAAAATGCATAGGCATAGGCCTAATCATAATCAGTACCCTACTTGCGATTTCCAGTCCAGTACCTAAATTAACCTAATTACAGTTTAAACTGCACACTTGTGACACTGACACACTTGTGACTTGTCTAGATTGTCTCAGGCTCTTATTTATGATTTATTACTTATGAGATGTCTTATTATTTACAATTTATGTTAGCCTAATACCTGCTTGTAATTTAGATAATGATGAGAATTTCAATAGCCTTTACCTTTTTAAAAAGAATGCACGTTATTTTTAAAACTTTGCTCTTTCAATTTCTATCCCCGCAATAAACATTACTATAGGTTATCAATGTCATATTCACAAATAAATAAGATGTCAATACGATCGGTTCACTTAACAGTTCTAAGTTCTCTCACTTAGTCCCTCTTCTATCTCATAGGATTAAAAGGACTAAAGTGCTTTGTAAAACTCCAATGAAGGTAAACGATATCCTACGACTCTATAAAAAATTATTTAAATAAGTTGCTGTAACATCTTAAATGGTGATATTAATTACTATTTAATTAAATTTTTAGTTTTCTTTGTATTTTTTAAATAATTTTAATTCTTTTGGTTCAATTTTAAGAGTTGATTATTAATAATTGTGCCGGTGACTTTTGCTTAAGAGCTTAATGTTGTTGTTATTTCAATGTCAAAATGGCGTCAACAGCAGTCAAAATAGGCACTCATTTAAAGGAATTAAGGTTTCATTTATGCCTCAAATCTGCGTCGAGTAAAGGCGTCAGGTAAGCATATTTTCATTTATACTACCTTAATCAGAACCTATCTTTCATCTGTTTTATAAGACATATTTAGTTGCAAATTAGTTAACTCAACCACTAACAACACATTTCTGAATCAGAAATTGACATGATTTCAAATTTGGTTTGTAGACAAATGATTGGTAAAAAAATAATGATTAATGACATAACTATTTTACTATTTAGTCAAATTTAGAAAGTTTTTTCAGTAGACAAAACTGAATTTAAAGCAAATTTCTGATACCAGTTAGTTTTTAGTTTAGTAGCAACAACATTACTAAGGCTATGAATCATGAATGAATTTAGGTACACATAATTTTTTTTAATTTAATGATTTATTCATCATTGTGATGCACATTCACATATGGATCTAGTTTAGAAAATAAAAAAAATTGTTACGCTTTGGATTATGATTATATTATTTATCTCTTTGTGTGACTTGGAACGAGGCATCTTGCCGCATTTCATCTAATAGAATGCAAACCTGAAGATCAAGTCTCATAGATGATAGGTAATTTGAAATTCAGACGATGAAAATTTAAACAACTCCTGTGATTTAGAATGCACAGTATAACACACAAGACACACTGTTGGTCATCTACTGCATCCTGGTCTATTTCCAGTCGTCTTGACTAAGTCTTGCCAGTGGATCAAATAGGCATTAACAAGGACGCGAGGCTGACAAATTGAGCAACTCTCTCTCACCTTAAATAAAATACAGCTCAAGTCCAGGCTACTGCTCAAGTCGAAAATCGCTCTGGTCATCTTTGCATGCAATGGATGAAAATAATAATAATAATATTAGTAAAAAAAGTAACAAGTGTCATTTAAACCTGAGAAAATATTTAATATGTAGGGATATCTTACTTTTGTTTGAGGAGGTAATATGAAAGAAAATTTTTATGGATGATGTCTTTCAACTTCTCACTAAAACGGTAAACTCCTCTGCCAGTTCAATCATTTCATTTTATTTTATATAATTTAACCTTGTTAAAAATAAAAATTACATACTTATTCTAATCAAAAGTCTTAATTTTGTCACAAAAATAATGCTACATTCTCAGTAATGACTTGAATTACTTCAGCACTTTAAAGGATTTTTTTTAAAACTTGGTCATTTCTTTTAAAAAAATTTAATGTATATCTATATATCTTTACAGAGAATATTTAGAAAGCAGTTATGTTAATCTTAAGCTCCAAAATCCAAAGTTCCCTTTCCTTGTCAGAGAAGCTAATGATATACAGCCTAAAGTTTACGCTCGCTATGGTAAGTGCTTTTTATAATTCTTTTTATTGTACATTACTTCGATTCAAGTGTGATTTGTGCAGTTTTTCTGCACCTGTTCAAAATTCTATGTACCGCTACAAATCAAAATCCCTAATTAAGCTAGAGATTTGATTACTGTTGTTGATTTTCTTAAAGTAAATTAAGTCAAACACACAAAAAACATGCAAATAAATTTTAAGTGTAGAAATTTAAGGCTCCCAAAAGAAGTTTTTTTTAAAAATGCACTACCTCTGTCTGTTTTGATGTGTAATTCTTGTTTTCTTAAATTTAACAGGTACTTCAGTATTTTTTACAAATGATCAACGTTTTCCTTTCATTATAAATTAGGAAGTCTATCTGTATGCTTGTCTTTTGTTAAAGGTTGCTTGCTAATTTTTTATTTATTTTTTTTAATCTTAGAGCTTGGAAAAGAATCTAGCCTTCCTCTGACCAACATGAGTAAGGATCAAGTTGCAAGGGCGGTTGAAAGTTTGTTAACAAAGAGCCAACACTGAATTCTAACAGGCACTTATGCTTGAAATATTTTAAGACTTTTCCTGTGATGCAGTGATAATGCATTGGCTTATGATTAAGTTGTGTGCATTGTGTAGTAACAATACAGTTATGCAAGTTGTTCTATTTTCTAGAAATAAAGCAGCTTAAGATTTTCTTTAGATATATTTAGTTTTTGATTTATTCTTTCTTAGTCAAATAATTACACTTCATGTCTTCTTTTCCAAGAAACAATATAGTTTATTTGTTTACCTTCTTGTCTGTTAATTTTAATAAAGGAGAAGTTTAAAAGATACCAGGCTTCAGTTTAAGAATCAAGAATCTTTATTAAAAGAAAGAAAAAAAACTGAACATTTTACAGACCAATTTAAAAATCTATTTATATGCAGTAAAGAAATTTCATAAGTACCGGGTAGCCTCAAGAATATGATTGACAGTTGCAGTATAAGTGGTAAACAGAGACTTTAAGGATGTTCTTTTTCTAAAATGTTTCTAATATGTTTGAAAGTAATTAAAATCTGGAATAATATGACAACTATAATTGGCCTTCAAATGCACCTCAAGATGGTTGGTTTTCAAATTCTAGACAGCTCATTTTCGAATTGCCCCCCTTAACAATCAAATTGCCCCGCTGGGGGGCGTGGGCCTCATGTTGGGAAACACTGCCCTAGAATAATCTGGTGGTCAATGTGTAAATATTCACAGTTTGCTTAGATCCATTTTAAATTAATTTTGAGCTCAACCTTTTAGTCTAATTCCCTTTTTTACTTAAAAAGAGGCATGTGTCTTATGACTTATATTTATTTGAGATCTTAATAAGTTCAATAAATAATGTTCCAAGTTTTCTTGTGGCTCTTTGTGCAATTCTGGTAACCCTAGCATCATTTATCATGTAACAAAGAGGCTAATACAACAAGAGTATGTTATTAAATATATGGCCCAGCACTGAAGTAAATCAGTAAGAAACCGTAACAAAGAAAGATCAACTGAGACAGTACAAGTAATAATTTGACATACTATATTTATTTACAAAAACCATGAAACAAATCAGTTACACCATGAAAATGTGGGTAAAAATGAAGCAGTTTAGTATCTCTTCTTTTTATAAATATCTGGTCTCCAGTTAATTGGATGTGTCTCTTCAGTCTGAAAACACAAAATTGAAGAAATTCAATAAATGAAATTAATACAATCTCTACAGAAAAAGAGTAATAAATTCAAATTTACATTAAAAAAAAAATAATACAATACAAACACAAATGACCACAAAACTTTGTTCAAATTCAACAATGAAGAAAAAATTCAGGTAAAGATTGTAAAAAATGATTACAGCTAGTGATTATAGACTCAAAATTATTTTTTTTTTTTTAAAGTTTTGAATAATTGAACCTTCCCGAAGTCCCTTCAGGAATCAGCCTTTATTTTAATTTGAAATTGCAATAGTTTGTGAACAAAAGGTACGGTAATCAATTGCTTATACTTTCATTAAATCATCTTTAAGTACAAAATGTCTTTAAAGTTTTAAATTTTTTTCCAACACTTTTGTTGAATTGAATATTTATATAGCGCTTGTATCCATGCTACTTGAGCATGCTCACAGCGCTCTGATGTTCTTAAATCTATTTAAATAAAAAAGTCTTTAAATGTTTCTTAAACGCAATCTGTTTACACCTTTGTTAAACGCAACCTGTTTACATCTTAGTTATTCCACCATCTTCTTTTTACTGCCCACTTAAAATATCACAATAACTAAATATTTACATAGTTCGATAAGCGAGGATCTAAATTATTTTTATAGTAAAAAAGCCAAGTCTTAAACTAGCTGTATACCTAATTTTTGTTCTACATGAATATATGAATTTGAAATTATTCATGTATAAAGTGTACTCAACACCAATATGAACTTAATAAACAGTACTGATAGGTAAGAAGAAAGTATGGTCATAATATTAGCTAAGTAACATACAGCAGTGTCATCCTCTTTGTATATTTTGATTGTCTTATCAGCTTCTCCACTGATTAGACGAGTGCCACTGTGGTCAAAACACAATGAAAAGATACCAGCCTCCGAATGGATGGAGCCTGGTTGAGCAGCTGCTTGGACACGTTGGAAATTATAGCCAGTCTTCCAATCCCAGAAGTGCATACTACCATTGTCAGCTGAAAGATAAAATAAATATAAAATAAATACCGGTATTAGCAGAGATTGCTTGTTTCCATAACTAACAATTTTTTTGTGCAATAGTCATGACAATTAGAATATGGTGACGATTAGATCATGGGTTTGAAAAAGTTCTGAAAGTTATACTGGTCCATGGATCGATAGTCACTATTAACGTTAATTATTTCAATAGTGTATAGTTAATTTATATATAGTACATAAATCTTGACTGGCCACAAAATGTTGCCCACTCTGATGAGTCTGCTAGTGAAAAGAGACATGAATTAAGACCCCAGATTTTGCCTAATAAGATCAACTGGGTCTAATAAGATCAACTGAATATTTCTTAGTAATACTAATGAAAATACTAATGAAAGTTAAATTAGAATCGTTTGGTTTAAGTTTAGCTATTTTAAAAATATGCAAATATGTCCAATATAACAAGCACATGAAATACATGCCTAATACTCTGTTTTAAAAATAAATATAACACTACCTGCAGACACAAGGACACCATCTGAGTTACATGCCAGACTGTTGATGATTGCATTGTGACCAGACATATTTTGCAGGAAATTGCCGTCTGGAAATCTCCATTGCTTGATATTATCAGGTGATCCAGAGGCAAAAGAGTACCTAAATGTAATTAATTTAATTAATAGTCAACGTGATAACTTGTTACAGTATGGTATTGGTTTTAATATCATTCTTGTTGGTTAGAAGTATGTTACCAACTGCAAGTTTTACACTTGTGGCATAAATAGTTGCAGAGTTATTACTTTTTAAAACTTTTTATTACCGGTATCTTTAGAAGTGATAATTTTTTGTAAATTCCATTATTTAAAATATATCTGAATTAACGCAATGGCTGTTGTTAGCTTTTTAAAATTATTTAGCCTAATGCTAATAATATGATTTCTACAATACTTAAAAAGTCTCTCCCCACTTCTGGGATGAAAAAAAACTAACTGACTAGAGAATGGCTAGAAAAAGTCAAAGGGTAAAGAAGAACACAAAATAGAAGTGCTAACCAAAGAAATATAGCATGTTGCAGTTGGAGCTATTGGGCCGTGGTGATGTAAAAACATAGTAAATTAAAAAATACAATTTTTTTGAATGCTGATAACTAAGTCTAAAAATCTTACTGTGAGGGATGAAGAGCAAGTGCCCTAACACTCTTCTTGTGGTTAGTCAATGTAACTCTTGTTCTTCCCATCGCCAGATCCCAGAGTCTCACTGTGCAATCATGGCTACCTGATATAACCTGTTATACAGAAAGTTTCTCCTAAATTAAAAATATATAATAAACATTACTTTAATTTTGAAAACTCTCTAAATAATAATACTGATATTTACCTATAATCAGTAGTGACTTTCAGCTTTTTTATATTACCAGTATATGGAAAAGATTTTTTTTGCAGGAATATTAAAAAAAAAAGTAAATAAGTAATCTTTATTGTTGTTGCCAAGAACAGTTTTGTAATCTTCCATGGTTCAACAAATGAAGTTTGTTTAATTGTTTTCTAAATTAGTAGGGGTCTAAAAATAGAAATTTAGGAATTACTTTTTTAAAACACATCCTTGTGAATTCCAAATATAAAGATGAGTTTGGTGCTAAACTAAAAAATAACGTCAGTACGCTACAAACTTAATTTGACATTTTCTGTCATTAAGTTATTTGGCTAATATCTAATGACCACCAACTTTTAAAGGGCCATGTCAAAAAGTGTTCTTATTGCTTATTACTGTTTTAGGGTACTTGAATTTTCACAAAGTTGGTCTTCCAAAAATGTTTTCCTTTAGCAAAATGTTGTTTTTTTAAACATTTCTGACTAAAAATTTAGTTGTGTACTTTAAAAATATTTAAACAGAAAAAGTTTTTTGTTATGTTAATGCTTATACTTATTGTCTCATATAACTTATCTGCCATTAACAGGTTTTGCAGATGTTCTTATACAAAGCTATGCTTTGAGCTACTCTATAATAATAAAAAAATATATATTTTACTTACTTGAGGTTCAGCAGCTTGACATTTGACCTCTGCTACTGTGTTGGTATGCCCCACCATTGTATGAACACATGCTTTGGTACGAATGTCCCACACCTTCCAGTATAAGAAGTTAAAAATAGGGCATCAGAAAACAACATAATCAATTATTGAGGTTAATTTAAGTCAAACCTTGGTGCAAGTGTTTCAAAATATTTAAATGTTTCTGTCCTTGTTCATAGTTTCTTGGTCCTTTCTCACATGTTTCCTATAAATCAAGCATACCAAGCTTTCAGCTTTTTATCCTGGTCCACACTATACTCCAGTCACTATCTCAGAAATCATGATTTATGGTTACCGGAAATTTGATCGAAAAAAATTTCGTCTACGGTAAAACGATCAACTGAAATTTGATCGGACGAAAATTTGGTAGAATCTTTTTTTAAGTTCACACGTTAAAATTTACTTCAAATTTATTTTTGAACGCACTCTACTATATAGTAAAACAAAATAATGTGTTCAAAAATTTTAACGTAAAAACTGAAAAAAAAGTGGCAACCAAATTTCCGTTCAATCAATTTACCGTCGACGAAATTTCTTTCGATCAAATTTCCGGATACGTGATTTTATGGTGTATTTAAAAAATTATTAAATCTCTGGGAAACAATGCTTTCTTGTCACAACAGCTTCAAAATAGATTGAGCCAAAACAATTCATTGGTAAAAGATAAAAAGAATACATAATAAACGAAGGACTGGGTTCAAGCTGTGTGAAGAAAATAATAGAACAAGGTATGGGGAAGTTTGAAATAGAAAGACAGGACAATAAAAGAAGAAAGTTTCAGCCAAGAGCCTTCCTCAGCAGACAGGACAAATGAAGATATAACAAGAATTAAAAAGTACCAATATTTTTTAAAAACTTAAAAGTGTTCGACATATTCATGTATTGATGGAAGTTCATGCCAAAAAGATGCCAAAGAATAGAGTAACTAAAGAACCCTTAAAATATCTTCAGTATCAATCATTTGAACGGTCAAATTATAGGTTTTTAAATAGGTCATTCAAAGACCTTAATTTCTTTATACAGTTTATGATGATCTGCATAAATAATAAATAAATGGAAATTGTAGTGGGATATTAAACTTCAGAGTGGCTTAACTGATTAACTACCAGATTGAAAAACCCACTTTGGCCGAATTAAATCCAGGTCACATTTTCTCATTTTAGGTGTATGTACAAATTCAGTTTTCTTAATTATAAACATATTCTAATGATAAATAAACCATTTTGTCGGTAATTGAATTCTCTATAAGATACAATTAAAACATTTGTAAAGTTAAGTTTCATAAGGAAATTATTATTGTTAAATTATTATTTACAACAGAATATCAATAACAAATCTATAAATGTGCCAGCTTACATATAAATTTAAAATTTCTAAATCATTCAAAATTTAAAGCCTTTAATAATAATAAGAAATATGCACCAAAGAACACAGAAATTGAATAATATTTACACTTCAAATCACTTATATGACTTTAGTAACCCTGTCAATTGTTGCCACGGTAAACAACTAGTAAACTTTCTTAACTAGCTTGGAAATAAGATAAAAATTAATTAACAGCTCGTTTTTTTTAACTATCTGTTGATAGCATGCAGTTCAAATATAAACATCCTGCTGGTAAATTAAAATCTCGAAGCAAACCGGGAACAGAATTACATATAAATATTTGAATCGATTTACTACGATACAAACATTGGCACTACCAGCAGCTCGTGGCATAGCGAAAAGAACACTGAGCCGCTCCCAGCGGATCATGGAAGTTAACCAGTTAAATTTTAATTAATTTGGTGGATAACCAATGTGTGGTGTTTTATTCACCTTGTTGTTAAACAATTAATTTGCATCAAGGTTGTATGGCACCAAAGAGTTTTGAACATTACATTTATGTTCCACTAAAATGATGGTGAAAAGTATCAGCAATATACCTAATTATATTCTGATTTCTCTTTGACGTGCTTTGATAGAAATTAATTCCCTGTAAATAAATGACTTGGCATTTAAGGTTTGTAGCTAGAACATAATGCTTATACATGCCATAATGAAATACAGATTTCAATACCGGTATTCTAAATCAAAGAGACTCACCCTAACTGTGCCATCCCTGCCACAAGTGGTTAGAATGTCTATGGTTGGATGAAGGTCCAGGGCATAACAGGCACTGAGGTGACCATGATAATGGCGTATGGTCTGAAAATACACCACAATATCTAAATAAAGCAATCACAGAAAAATTAATATCTATCAAAATGAACAATTTTTTTGTTAATGTGGCACAATTTTCAATACTGGGTATTTGGAAGACAATAACAGGCTTACCAATGACATCTATGCTAAAAGTTGACATAAACTTGATTAAATATATATAATAATCAGCACAGATACTTCTTGGGTGAACACAATTAAATCACATCTCAATGATTTCAGGAAGATTCAAACCTTTTAAACAGCCCCTCCTCTTGAAAAATTCACAAATATTCAGACAGAACATAATAATTTTTTCTTATCTCTTCATCCAATTTGAAAGTAACTTTTTAATATTAGCATTTTTTCAACTGCACCTTATTTTGCTCTAGATCCCAGCATTTCACCATTTTATCTTCTCCACAAGAGAACAAATAGGGTTGCCTTGCACTAACTGCCAGCCCTCTCACAGTGCTAACATGTCCTGTTAAAGTCAACTTCAGCGTCCCTGTGGCCAGATCCCAAATCTGAAATGAAAAGCTTAAACTTATTACTAGATAAATCCGAGTGTGGTACACAATTCTTTAGCTGCCCTCTCAGATGCTACTTTCCAGCTAAGTGCTTTTTAACAAAATTTAATTCTGTTTTTTCAGTTGTTTGTTCGCTGACGAAGGCTTCCTGCAGACAAATTTGTTATTTTGTTGAGTTCCTTTTTTTTTTTCAGGTTTTCCCATAATTATTTTAACTATTTCCTTTATTTGCTAACCTGATTGCAGTCTCTCCCTCTCATTACCTTATATATTTGCAGGTGGGACAATCTCAAAATTGTATTTTTCTAAAATATCTTTTCATAAGCTAATTTTAAATTTAGTCTTGGTGTCTTGAGATTGAAAAGACATGACCAATTATATCTTCGTTTAATTTTATTATTTATAAATTTACTGTTTGCTGCATACCATTCAGCAGCTCAAGAATAAAATATTTTACAGAATTCATCCATTCTACACTAAAATAAATGATCTGTTATCAAGACAATTGTTCATAACTGAGCAGCAACTTAACATAAGTAGTACCGACTAACCTTAATAACTCTATCACCAGCACCAGAACAAAACCACTCATTGCCTGGTTCCACTGCAAGACATCGAACCCAGCCTATGTGACCACTTATCACCTGGACAATGGAAAATCTTTAAGCAAAGATTGCACAAATATACATGTCTTACTCTTAATCTATAAATTTTATTTTCATGTTTCAAAAGATTATTACATCCTTTATATATTTTTACTTCTTTCTGATGGGGATAGAACTAGAGCATCTGTGGACTAACAAAACAACTTCATAACAGCACATAATTATGTACTGATCTCATTCACAATGAATTCTATTTTCATGATTAAGTGCTTTTCATTTATTTGTAACTGCAAATGACTTAATACTTATTTTCAATCCCAAATCAATTTTTTTTTGTAAAGTTTAATTTTATAATTACTCTGTAAAGTTTCCAAGGTGGATGCCAATTTGGTTTTGGCATTGTTGGAGCTTTCTTAGGTACCAACATTTGTTGCTGTCCAATTGTTACTGATACCAATGCCTGGAGAGAAAAAAATCACCATTAAAAAAGAAATAACAATTACTTCTGGGCTATGGTTTGACTGTATGTTTTATATAAAGAAGTAAATTTTAGAGACAAGAGTAATACAATATTTCAATAAAATATTCACTCAGTAATTGATCACGTATTAAATTGACCAATTTATTGTCAGATTCGTTTATCTTTTAAATCCCATTTTTTTTTCTTTTTAAAGTTGTTTACTTTTGATTTTTAATAGCTGGTCTCTGAAAATATATATTAACGCATTATTTATATAAATATATCTCACCCTACTATTTGGATCCATTCTATCATTTTCATTACCGGAAAGTCTGAAAAGGGAAAAAATTCACTAGGAAAACTACATCCACTGCTTTGGATTTTTAACAATTTCATCAAGCTACGAATACATGTGAAGCAAGCTACAACCTTTCATTAAATTTTAATTCAATTTTTTGTGCTAAAAAAGTACACTTTGTTGCAGCCAACCGCAATCTCAACACTGGCAAATTGCTTATCGAATAATTTATCATAAAATATTTTTATTTTACTATTGCTTTGTAAAGAACAACCAACAATGCCCTGGTTAGTTTTTTTTGTGTGTAAATCTGATAATTGATTAACATCGATATCTGTAACAACAAAAATGTCCAAAACCATCAGCAAGAAAACTTTAAATGTAAAAAAGACAATTATAAACATCTTTCAATCAAATAAAGAAGGCACAAAAATCTTGCATATTTTGGTAACAATTACAATGACTAGCCCGATAAAACGACTGACCTCATGTGATCTCCATCACCTGAGAATGAATGAAAAAAAATTTGAAAATAAAATTTACAATCATGTTTTATTAATTAACCATTAAATTAAATGTCTATAGGATAAATAATTTTTATTAATTACAATAAATTATGAGATTGTAGTTCTATCTTTATGAATTTTTTTTTTAAATAGAGTAAAACTCGATCAGGTACAAAATCCATTATAAAGACTTTTACCTCCAGCAATTCCATTGGATATATCACCACCTATTTAAAAATTTGATACAGTAACTTAAAATGAGGTTGTCATTATGGGGTAAGTTGTAATAATCAAGTGTTTACATTTGACTGACATTATACAATCTTTGTTTTAAGGAATTGTAATTTTCAGTGGGACATTCAATCAGCATAAAATTATACATTTATGAAGATTTTTAGGTTAAAATATTAAAAACCAACTAGGTTCCATATAGAGTTCAACAATAATATGAATCCAAAAATAACTTCATAAACATCTTTAAGAAAATAATACCAATGCTTTAAAAAAATAATTTACAGCCTTCAAATCAAAAATAGACACCAACCTGCATGATGCATCTGTTTAGCTTTTGCTTCTCTTTTAGCTGCCTCCTTGACTGGCCCATATTCATCTGCTATTTTTATCTGGCATCTCAATTTTTCGCTATCAGATGAAATGTACATGTAGTAAACACAGAATATCAATATTTAAGATTGTTCAGATTGAGCATTATTATTTTTTTAACAGAGGCTGAGAACCTGCAGCAAATAATTTAAATCATAATGAGTCAGTCTCAATTTTACTTAAGATCATAGAATCTATTTTAGTGGTGCAGTTATGAACTAGAGAGAAAACATTCCTGTAATAAATTACAAGTTTTAATCCTTAAACGATGGATGGAAATAATAGTAAGTGCATCTATCAAGAATCTAAAAGGCTTTACAGTCTCATTTTTAATTTAAAATTATATTAATTTATATAACTTGAAGTTACTTTTCATCCAGTTTCATGGGTGCATTCCCTTGGTCAGAGAGAAACATATCATGTGTTCTCTTGAGAGATCGAAACACCAGAGTGTGGACAGAGTGCTTTTGCACATCCTGAAAATTCAAAGAAGTAAAATAAATTATTTTGAAATTATGAAACTTCATCAATAAATTGTATGACAATTTCCAAAAATAATAAATCTGTATGCATAATCGAACAATTAATTTTACATTTCTTTAAATTACATTTTATGTATAATTTTAAGTTAAATTTTATAAATCTGAAGATGTGAGCGACGCAAAGGATTTTAAATGAACCTCAACACACATTTTCTTCCTTAGAATTAGTAATTGGATCCAATTAATATTATTATATTTTAACTAGCTTAATAAAACATTCAAATATGGAATTCCCACCGATGTGTTGAAACTTTCATGCCAACTAGATTGGTCTTTACAGTCCAAAGTTTAAAAAAGGTTATCAGAACATTTTTTTTTAAACTTTAATAAGTAATACAATTTACAATCATGTATGGACTATTACATTAGCCATTTGGAAATATTTTTTATATGTATTTTAATTATAAACTGCTGGGGCTTTTTAGCAACAATTTTAAACTAAACTAATTTTAATATTGGGCAAAAATATTACCCCAGTTAATAGCAAAGTAAATATTGAGTCAAAACAATAAAATGTCTCTAAATGCAATAAACTGTACTTATGTCAGACCATATTATGATTTATTTGTATTAATTTAAAATTGTGTATTTATTTAGTACTATTATTTTTCTTTTTTGGGGGTTTTAAAGGATAGTGGTTAGAATAAAATGTGCACTGCCAATGGTGTTCGAACAGTTTGACTAAAACTAAAGTTGTCCCGTGACATATCACGGCTCCCTTTTCGCTGTCTCACTGTATCGCTGATTTTTTACTAGTATATACCTAATATAGATACCCTTATCATATTTTTTATATTGTTAAAATTTCGTAGATCTAAGAGTGTAAAAAATGTTTTTAGAGACAAAGGAAGTGTTTATGAGAATGTTGAAAGGTTAAAACAGTGTGGGCGAGGGAAAGGTTTATAAGAGTGTAGGGAGGGTTTATAAAGCCTTCCAATATATAAAAATAATAAATTAAATATGAGATCACTACCTCATGGATTTTTACCTATCATGTTTGGTTCTGGGACCTAACCCCAAAGTAGACGAGAGACCACTATACTGACTTTTCAAAGTATACACTATTTTAGAACCATATATATTATACGGTGCTCTAAAAGATGTTTACTCTTAATCAGATTGAATGAAATTGATGGCATTTTTTGTGAAGCAACACAACTAAAAATATATTTCCACATCACTTCGCTTTATTAGCCTAATTAAATTTTAAAACTCACTACCAAAAATCATCCGTCATATTTATACCAATTAGATTTGACATTTGTGAAAAACATTTATGTTCACTTGAAATTACATCTGATCAGCAAATCCACTTTAAAACATTTACAATTAAATGATTATAAGTATGATTCATAACACTTTGTATTTTCAAGCTAAGGAAGTTGGATATGTTTATTATTAAAAATTAAATTAAATCCGACCAAACCTCAAAACCCAATTTTTAACAACCCGTGCCTATTAATTGTCTCCCAAATCTCCATATCACAATTGTTTTGGCAAGAATGTATGTGCAAGGAGGAGAAGATGAACATTTGTTTTTATTAATAACTTAAATGCAGCAAATTTTTCTAAATTGAAATACATAAAAAGGTATAATATAATTGTTATTTAATTATTATAATAATAATAGGCCTAATTTAATATTAAAAAATTTGGCCTATCATAAATATATGTAAGCATCCACAAAATCTTAGTGCATTAGTAAAGTGGCCATAGCTTAGCTTTAAGTTTTAGTTAGTTTTTAGAAATTAGTGGTCTTTAGGCTAAAGACCACTAATTTCTTAGGCCTAGGCCTCTTATTAAGTTTATGGCAATCCTCCGAACTCCGGTCCCAAATTATTTCGTATGAAAAAAATTGCAATGCACAGTGTGTATTGTTAGAAAACAGCAGAAATGTCAGTCATAGCTTTTGCAAATAACTGTCGCTTTACAAACCAGTCGGTTAATACTAAATATTGTAATTGGCGATAACCGCGCATAGCATTTGCAAATAGCAGCCAAAAACGTTCTGCTTGTGACTGTTGTGCCACTGAAGGCTCCAAGTAGCTTGCAAATAGACAGCGACTAGTACCACTCTGATAGCGGAGTTTACGTTTCGCTTGCATCCAAAGTCCTTCAATAATTTATGTGTGAATGTCCTGGTCTACTCAGTTACTGTCTATTTTGTCAACAAATTCCTGCGCATGCACAATGACAGCGTGAGCATAAATTCCCTTGTTGAGCTGAGCGACATTTTGATATCTTTACCAAGCCTCCGTGATGATAGTTGTCCCTGGCAACACATGATTAGTGATAATGCGCTCGAGTGTTTGTGCATCTTGACGGCCGACAGCCTCCATCCAACATGGTCCACTAACGCAAACACGAATTTAAAACAGAATGATGCTCAAGACTTTTAAGTAATTTGGGACCGGACTTCGGAGGATTGCCAAGTTTATCAAGTCAAGCTAAATTTGGCCATTTCCAGTGAATACTATACAGGGCCATAGCTGAAATAAATATTATTTCAAGTTGCTGAAAGAATAAAGAGAGAAGGGTTATGATAGGACCTTTTAGGTGCCTGTTACTCTGCTAGTATAAGTTAGAGACGGAGTAACAGGCCAGTGTTGTTATGGCAGATGGCTTATCGATAACTGGTAAGTATTTTAGGTTTTAAATTAACACATAATATTGAATTTTCCAACATGGTTATAATATTTTGACCAAAAAAAAACATTAATATTCTACATTATTAATGTCTGCTTACTTCAGAAGACATATCCCTTTCAAATAAAACGACTGTTAAATGGTTAAATGTGAACTGTACTTTTTGATAACAGAGCGTTCTGGTTAAGACATTTACCGAGACACACTAAATTGGCGAGATATCACAAAATGTGTGTGGGGGGGGGGGGTTAATTCAGTTTAAATTTGGCAAATAATTTGGGAATCAAATTTAAAAATTTTAAAGAGACGTTTAATTTGTTAAACTTTAAATGAATAGAGGCATTGTGAGATTTAAAAAAACATTTAAGCATAATTAGTTTATAGTAGTAAAGTATAAGGCCTTTACTGCTCTATATTATATCCCTTTGCTTTTAGCCCAAGGCCTGCACAACTCAAAATCTAAGACGGACCGTGATCGTAATACTTAGTGAAAGACTTTTGCGGACAAAAAGATAATAGGACGGCGGGGGGTGGGGGATATTAAGAAACTAATAATAATAATGAAGAACATTTCGTTACACTTCGCGGGCCGCCAAGGCCAAGGCCCGCAAGCAGTCCAGGCCTGCTTTAGCCTTCAGCTTTTGGCATTCGCTACGTACCTGAAAATAAAAAAAATTACTGAATAAAACTGTAGCAAATATAATTTTTAATCATTAAAAAATGTCTAAATCATTCCTTTTTGAAATAACAATTGTAAACCTAGTATATAAGTGTTTATCTTTTTCAAACATATGAAATAACCCTTGATATGTTTTACTGGAATCAACGCATTGTGATATTTCTTTTAAATCAAAAGTTATTGACTCGGGAATAACTTCTTCTAGATTACGTGCAACAGACAGTTTCATGAGTTGCATGTAATAAGTTTCAATAGCTTATCGGGGATACCGGTAGGACTGGACTATGCATCATACCTTAAACCTCACCTTCACCCCACACAAAAAAAGTTGTACTTAAATGAAGGGGAAAAAATTACAGATAAATTGCCTATTTTACATTCAAATAAATTTATATATAAATTTTACTTTGTGTTGATGCATTTTTAATAACACAAAATTGTAGGAAAAACATTTCATTACATCTTTAGCTAGTTAATCAGTAAAGCTGACAATTATAGTATAGTTTATAGCTGCTATTATCTTCCCATGAAGTAGCCAGGTGTTGCTCTATCGTAACAATGGACATCAGGGACATCATTTGGGTAGGGCAGGGGAGCATCTCCTCCCCCCCCCCCCCCCCCCCCCCCCCCCCCNCCCCCCCCCCCCCCCCCCCGTGGATTTTGCTGGCTTTATTTAAATTGCTATGTACGGTGGCGTCTCCAGTAATAAACAACTTAACAAGCCGACCAAGTTTTGGTTTTTTGCCCACCTACCCTCCCTTCCCCAGAAAAAAACCTGAAATGACGCCCCTGATGGGCATAATCTATAGTAGCTTATGTCTCATTTTCATCTTGCGGAACTGATATACCTGACAAGTTATTCACCACTTAAAATAGAAGCATTGTCTGTGTGAGCAATAGTTGCCATAAGCTCTCTCTGTCTTTGAGTTGGTCGAGTTTTTATTGAATACCGATGAGTTGGGTTTTTTTTTTTTTTTTTTTTTTTTTAAATTGAATACCGTGTACAACGATGTGTTTTTTTTTCTAGGGGGCGGGTTAAGGGG